TCAGTGAACAGTCAGTAAACAGTCAATAAACAGTCAGTGAACAGTCAGTAAACAGTCAGTGAACTGTCAGTAAATAGTCAGTAAACAGTCAGTAAACAGTCAGTAAACAGAGAACCACTAACAAGGAGAATCACAATGAATGCCAAGTTCATTCACTGCAGTGGCATCATGCTGTGGAGGATGAACTATATCTGGAGATGGTTCAACTGGGTTGCCTTTTAACATGTTGGTCAAAAAAGTTGCTTTGTAAATAAACTTTGACCTAATGGGCATTATGAGCTGGTCCGCAGGTTCTGTCGGTTCTGTAAAGGATACTGGAAGGTCTCACAGTAATGGTAGCGGAGCTGCAGGGCCTGCAGGAAGTGCTGAAGGCTGCTGAGCTGCAGGTTCTGCTGGTTCTGTCTGTTCTGCAGCGCCCCCTGCAGGGCGAGAATCTCACAGCCCCAAAAGCAGCTGAGGACGCACGGCTCCAGGCAGCAGGCCTTCAGGGACACTCCGTCTGCAGGACGAGATCTGTTCATGTTAGACAGGGTCCACATTCCTGCTGAGGCTGCAGATACACATGCACATAGAACGAGTTCTTCGTACGGTTATTTATTTATTGCTTACACACAAAATTACATTATTTCAGCCATCCATTATCTTTACATGCTTCTTCCTTTTTGAGTCACGGGGGTCACTGGTGTCCATGTCCAGCAATCACTGTGTGAGAGGCGGGGACACCTGGACAGGTCTCCTGTCCATCACAGGGCCACATAGAGACAAATAAGACAAACAACCATTCACTCTCTCACTCTCCCCTAGAGACAATTTAGAGTTACCAATCAGCCTAACATGCATGATTTTGGTCTGTGGGAAGAAACCGGAGTACCTGGAGAAAACCCACGCATGCATGGAGAGAACATGCAAACTCCACCCAGAAAGGTGTCCCGGATCGGGATTTGAACCGGGGCAACCTGTCGCTGAGAGGCAACAGCTCTGCCAACTGCACCACCGCGCTGCCCTGAAAGTTATTCCAGTTAGCAAAATCTCACACTCATAAAACAAAACTCCAAATTAGATTAGTAAAATCTCTGTTGCTTGAGTCCCAAGGTAAGAGTTTGTCTCCATGTGTCCCTTTGATGGACTAGAGACCTGTCCATGGTGTCCCCTGCCTCTCACAGTGACTGCTGGATATGGACACCAGTGACCCCCGTGACCTGAAAAGGAAGAAGTGGGTAAAAGATGATGGATGGGTAAAGTAAGTGATAAAAACATGCAACAATGGAACATATGTATGCTGCTGAACTAAATCTGAACTGGAAACAGTCAGGATCAGAACCAGGGTCAGGACCAGGGTCAAGGTCAGGAAGATCATCTGTAATTGAATTTGCTTTAACCTGTGTTCTGTGACCTGATCTGTTTGAATGTGAGTCAGGTCTGTGATCCAGTCATGTGGTTCTGTACCAGCAGTAGATTCAACAGGAACCAGAACAGCTGCTCATATATGTCAGGGGGTATCTGGTCATGGTTTATGGATATTTTATCACTACTCATGTTAACTCTGAGTTGCCAGAGAATTCTTTTGGAGCTTATTTGATCCTGCATGTACAGCTGTGAGTTCGAGGTTATCAGTGACTGCAGCTGGGCGATATCTTGATATTTTAAACATATCAATATAATTTTTTTGCGATATAAGTTGAGACTATATCGATATAAAACAATATATGTAGTGTTATACTTGGCAATCCCCCTGCTGTCATCTTTCTCGCAAGCGGCCTCCCTCCTTCTCCCTCCTTGAATACAAATCCAGCCCCTCAGCCACACTACCCTCCTTCCTGCTTCTCAAGGAGGTGGGCGGGAGACGTTTAGCACAACAAGTAAACACATGAGATATGAAGATCAGCTTAGCTGCTGAACAAAACAAAAAACAATGGCTGTTCTTTTGTGCTTTGTGGACTTGGAGAAGGCGTTCGACCGCATCCCTCGGGGAACCCTGTGGGGGGTACTCTGGGAGTATGGGGTACCGGGCCCTTTGATACGGGCTGTTAGGTCCCTGTACGACCGGTGTCAGAGCCTGGTCCGCATTGCCGGCAGTAAGTCGGGCTTGTTCCCGGTGAGAGTTGGACTCTGCCAAGGTTGCCATTTGTCACCGATTCTGTTCATAACTTTTATGGACAGAATTTCTAGGCGCAGCCAAGGTGTTGAGGGGATCCGTTTTGGTGGCCTTAGGATTGCGTCTCTGCTTTTTGCAGATGATGTGGTCCTATTGGCTTCATCAGATCGTGATCTACAGCTTTCGCTGGAGCGGTTCGCAGCCGAGTGTGAGGCGGCCGGGATGAGGATCAGTTCCTCCAAATCCGAGGCCATGGTCTTGAGACATAAAAGGGTAGAGTGCCCTCTCTGGGTCAGGGAGGAGGTCTTGCCCCAAGTGGAGGAGTTTAAGTATCTTGTTCACGAATGAGGGGAAAATGGAACGTGAGATCAATAGGCGGATAGGTGCAGCGTCTGCTGTGAAGTGTGCGCTGTACAGGTCTGTCGTGGTGAAGAGAGAGCCGAGTCAAAAGGCGAAGCTCTCAATTTACCGATCGATCTACGTTCCTACCCTCATCTATGGTAAGGATGCCTCCTGGACATCTCCCTGGTGAGGTGTTCCAGACACGTCCCACCAGGAGGAGACCCAGAGGAAGACCCAGGACATGCTGGAGGGACTATGTTTCTCGGCTGGCCTGGGAATGCCTAGGTATTCCCCCAGAGGAGCTGGACCAAGTGGCTGGGGTGAGGGAAGTCTGGGCCTCCCTACTTAGACTGCTACCCCCGCGACCCGACCCCGGATAAGCTGAAGAAAATGAATGGATGGATGGATGTTCTTTCGGAGATGGTTTGGATTTAAATGATCAGATGAGGGGCAGAAAGATTATTTCTGTAGACAATGCTGAAAACAAGTCAGCAGCTGAATGGACTGTACTTATAAAGCTTCTTTTCTCTTCTCCCTTTCCTTTATCTTAAAATATTGAGATATTAATTTTGGTCCATATCGCCCACTCTATCAATGACTGTGATCTGTGAGGGCTGATACGTGTATATGAAAACAATTCTTGCACACTGCCTGGTGCAGATTCTCATGACTGGGCTCCATGATGTAGAACTTTTTCATACATCTGTGCAAGCTGTGGTGACCATCTGCCCTTGTAAGTAAAACCAGTTAAAACATCTTCTCGTGTCCTCGGCTTCTTTGAGTAAGTAAGATGAACAGAGGATATTTTTATCCAACAAAATACCAGCAACTGTTCTCTGAACAAGTACCACCAGGAGCTACAAAGTGGTTCCATTTGTTCCTCGTTTCAGTTCTGTGTGGCTCACCGGTGACACTAGCAGGTCCAGATCCGAGGTCCAGAGCAAACGGGTTGGTGACCTGAACCATGTGTTTCTCAGGGGTCGGTGAGACAGAGCCAGGCTCATCAGAACTGTGAAGGATCACTGGGACGTCAAAACCAAACCTGCAAAACAGGACGAGTGGTTCAAAAACTGCACAACGGGCTCCGCTTGTTTTAAAACCACACAACTCACAGCTTCTTGAGCTGTTTTAAATAAACTAATAAATAAAAACATTTGATTGTTCTTACAGAAAGAAAGAAGATGAAAGAACAAAAACAAATGAATAAATTAAATCAAATTCTAAATTATATTTTTTTATTTATTTGTTTAGTTTTAACATCTGATATGTTTACTATGTGGGTGACACGGTGGAGCAGTTGGTAGAGATGTCGCCTTTCAGCAAGAAGGTTGCTGGTTCAAATCCCGGTCTGGGGGTCTTTCTGGGTGGAGTTTGCATGTTATCTCCGTGCATGTGTGGATTTCCTCCAGGTACTCCAGTTTCCTCCCCCAGACCAAAAACATGCACGTTAGAAGGATTGGTAACTCTAAATTGTCCCTAGGTGTGAGTGAGAGAGTGAATGGTTGTTTGTCTCGTTTGTCTTTATATGCGTCTCTGTGATGGACTGGAGACCTGTCCAGGGTGTCTTCTGCCACTCACACAGTGATGGCTGGACATGGGTGCCAACAACCTCATCACCCAGAATGGAAGAAGCGTGTAAAGACAATGGATGGATGTTTACTGTTTCATTGTGAATAAAATGTTTATGGGTTTATGGTAAATGGACTGTACTTATATAGCGCCTTTCTATCTTATTTCAAGATACTCAAAGCGCTTTACACCACAATCTGTGTCCTTATTTACCCATTCATACAGCACTCTTCTACAAACCGGATTCCAAAAAAGTTGGGACACTAAACAAATTGTGAATAAAAACTGAATGCAATGATGTGGAGATGGCAAATGCCAATATTTTATTCGTAATATAACATAGATAACAGATCAAAAGTTTAATCTGAGTAAATGTAACATTTTAAAGGAAAAATATGTTGATTCAAAATTTCAGTGTCAACAAATCCCAAAAAAAGTTGGGACAAGTAGCAATAAGTGGCTGGAAAAAGGAAATTGAGCAAATAACGAACAGCTGGAAGACCAATCAACACTAATTAGGTCAATTGACAACATGATTGGGTATAAAAAGAGCTTCTCAGAGTGTCAGTGTCTCTCAGAAGCCAAGATGGTAAGAGGATCACCAATTCCACCATTGTTGCGCAGAAAGAGAATGGTGTTACCCAGCGTAAAATAGCAAAGACTTTTAAGTTATCATCATCAACCATGCATAACATCATCAAAAGATTCAGAGAATCTGGAACATTCGCTGTGCATAAGGGTCAAGGCCGTAAAACTCTACTGGATGCTCGTGATCTCCGGGCCCTTAAACGTCACTGCACATCTCCGGGCCCTTAAACGTCAAACAGGAATGCCACTGTCAAGGAAATAACAGAATGGGCTCAGGAATAACTTCCAGAAAGCATTGTCAGTGAACACAATCCACCGTGCCATCCGCCGTTGCCAGCTGAAACTCTACAGTGCAAAGAGGAAGCCAATTCTAAGCAAGCTCCACAAGCTCAGACGTTTGCACTGGGCCAGGGGTCATTTAAAATGGAGTGTGGCAAAATGGAAGACTGTTCTGTGGTCAGATGAGTCACGATATGAAGTTCTTTATGGAACACTGGGACGCCATGTCATCCGGACCAGAGAGGACAAGGATAGCCCAAGTTGTTATCAATGCTCCGTTCAAAAGCCTGCATCACTGATGGTATGGGGTTGCATGAGCGCTTGTGGCATGGGCAGCTTGCATGTCTGAAAAGGCACCATTAATGCAGAGAACTATGTTCAGGTTCTAGAACAACATATGCTCCCATCTAGACGTCATCTCTTTCAGAGTCAGAGTTTCTTTATTGTCATTAGCACCTCATGTGGTACATGTGGTGGAGCAAAATTATGTACACAGGGTCCCAGTTACATCCAACAATAAAATGTATAAGAAAAACAGTAATAACATCTAAGATATGAACTAAGAAAAACATCAACTAAATATACACTAAGCACTCATAATATAAAAACATTGAACATCAGCACAAACATGAACATGAGTCTGTGAGCAGATGTGCACGCATGAACACATCAACATTTAAACAGATCAGCAGCAACATGATGTGGTTTTTCACAGTGATTATTCTAGTTAGAGATTCATGAGTCCAACAGCCTCAGGGTAGAAGCTGTTCCTTAGTCTAGTGGTTCTACACTTAATGCTCCTCAACCTCCTTCCTGAGGGGAGTGGGGCAAAAAGTGTGTGTGCTGGGTGAGTGCGGTCCTTCATGATGCAGGTGGCCCTCTTCCTGCATCTGGAGGTGTAGATGTCTGTGATGGTGGGGAGGCTGATTCCAACAGACTTCTGTGCAGCCTTCACCACTCTCTGCAAAGCTTTTCTTTCTGCAGCTGTGCAGCCTCCATGCCACACTTTGATGCTGGAGCACAGGATGTTCTCCACTGCACACCTGTAGAAGGAGGTGAGGACTGAGCTTCCCAGACCAGCTCGTCTCAGCTGTGTGAGGAAGTAGAGACTCTGATGAGCTTTCTTGATCAGGCTGGTGGTGTTGTTGCTCCAGCTGAGGTTGTCATTCATGTGTACACCCAAGTACTTGTAGCTGGAGACCACTTCCACCACAGATCCTCTTATGTTCAGGGGGGTGTAGATGTTTTTGTTCCTTCTGAAGTCCACAATCATCTCCTTTGTCTTCTTCACATTGATGTGAAGGTTATTCTTTCTGCACCAGCTCTCCAGGTGTTCCACCTCTTGCCTGTAGCTGGACTCATCATTGCTTGTGATGCATCCCACCACCGCTGTATCATCTGCAAACTTTACAATGTGACAGCCTGGATGGGTAGCTGCACAATCATACATGAGCAGAGTAAACAGGAGGGGGCTCAACACACATCCCTGAACAGGGAAGACCCTGCATTTTTCTACACGATAATGCCAGACCACATTCTGCAGCAATCACAACATCATGGCTACGTAGGAGAAGGATCCGGGTACTGAAATGGCCAGCCTGCAGTCCAGATCTTTCACCTATAGAGAACATTTGGCGCATCATAAAGAGGAAGGTGCGACAAAGAAGGCCCAAGACGATTGAACAGTTAGAAGCCTGTATTAGACATGAATGGGAGAGCAATCCTATTTCTAAACTTGAGAAACTGGTCTCCTCTGTCCCCAGACGTCTGTTGAGTGTTGTAAGAAGGGATGCCACACAGTGGTAAAAATTGACTTATCCCAACTTTTTTTGGGATTTGTTGACGCCATGAAATTTGGAAACAACAGATTTTTCCATTTAAAATGATATATTCTCTCAGTTTAAACTTTTGATCTGTGATTTGTGTTCTATTCTGAATAAAATATTAGATGTTGGCACCTCCACATCATTGCATTCAGTTTTTATTCACAATTTGTTTAGTGTCCCAACTTTTTTGGAATCCAGTTTGTAGATCTCTACAAAGCTAATTGAACAAATCATTCTAATGAGACTAATCAGTGCTTTAAGATCACATTCATACACTGATGGGACACACATCAGAGGCTATGAGGGGTTCAGTGTCTTGCCCAGGGACACTTCAGCATGTGACTGCTGGTGGATTCGAACCCCCAACTCTCGCATTGGATGATGACTGCTCTAACCACTCAGCCACAGCCGCCCCCGAACCATCATTTATGGGATCAACAATCCGTGCATTCTGTTTTTATTTACTTTTATTACAAATAACCCGATTCAGTCCATTTATTAACTAAATCATATTCAAATCCAGTTACATATCGTCCAGTTCAGTCCAACTACCGTACGGTTCAGTAGAATCAGGTCCAGAACAACAGGAAACGCTAATTTATAAAAAGCTGTCTGAGCGAACAGATGGCGTAAAGTGTCCACTTTGATTCAACCCTCAAACGATCAGAGGACGACGGGCGACAGAGCCAGGAGGACACGAGACTCAGGCAGAGACAGGTGTGTGACAGACAGGAACCTCTGGAGTCCAGTACCGTGACCTTTGACCTCTGACTGCTACAGAAAACTACTACTGGGTGTTCATTCATCACAGCTGGGACCACAGAATGAATTAGAACAACTCTTCTCACTGATTCACATCATATTTGTGCTTCCACAGTTCTTACAAGTGACCCTTACAGAACCACCAGGGACTGAATGACTTTAAAAATATAAATAAATGTTAACATTCATTGTTGTTTTAGTCACAGTTTGTGTCAGGCACTCAGTCACACATCATTGTTCATAATGTAATAATTGTTTTATAAATATGTCGAGTTTTAAACAGGTTTTCTGCATAAAATATATTTTTTAATTCTCAAATTTTACATTTAACTCACCATCCGAGCAAGATGGCGGCGGTTATAAGGAAGCAGAGAGAGACGACCGCGATGGAAAACAGCGGGGAGTATTCATAGAGAGTCACCAGGAACAATGTGGCCATCTCCTACAGTTTACAGCTCATTTTCAGCTCATATCAACAGACATGTCAACAACCGGAGGAACACGTCACGTGATGCACGTAGCTTCCGGTTGACCCGGAAGTTATAACATGATGTGTGTGTGTGTGTGTGTGTGTGTTTTGCTCGTTTGCGTTAAATAAATAATTGTCCATCTGCAGCGGATTGTTTTTGTTAGGTTAGAGCGAGCAGACATGATAATCTGAATCAATCTTAAAGTTTGATCACAGTTCAAATCAATCAGATCTAATGTCGGATTAAACAAAGAGGATGATAATTTAAACAATTTCTACATCCAGATGTTTAGTTTTTCTGGGTCACAGGGAGCTGGTGTCTATGTCCACCAACTACTGTGACATGCAGGGCACACCCTGGGCAGGTCTCCTGTCCGACATAGTCTCCACAGATTTTTGTCTATCCCAGCATCCTGTCACACCAACCCTCTGCAGATCCTCCTTCACTCCATCAACCTCCCCCTTGGCATTCAACATTTGTCCATTGGCTCTTCTCCTCACATGTCCAGCTCAGCCATGTCTTTCTACCATTGTCTTCAAACCTGAGCTGTCCTTCTGATGGTCTCTTCTAATCCTGTCCATAAATATGGTAAATGGACTGTACTTATATAGCGCTTTTTTATCTTATTTCAAGATACTCAAAGCGCTTTACACTGCAATCTGTGCCTCATTCACCCATCCACAGAGCACTAGATCTCTACAAAGCTAATTCAACAAATCATTCTAATGAGACTAATCAGTGCTTTAGATCACATTCATATACCGATGGGAAACACATCAGAGGCTATGAGGGGATCAGTGTCTTGCCCAGGAACACTTCAGCATGTGACTGCTGGTGGATTCGAACCCCCAACTCTCGCATTGGAGGACGACTGCTCTAACCACTCAGCCACAGCCGCCCCATCAAATATAAACATCTTCATCTGTCACCTCCAGCTCCTCCTGTCTTTTTGTTTCACTGTCTCAATCCCCAAACTGGGCACTGCCATCCCTTTCTCTCCTGCAGTTGTCCTTCAGCCCCTACACCCCCATACCTGCTTGACTCCATGTCTTTGTCCACTCCACCTTGTTTTCTGCTCCTTAAGTTTAAAACGCCCCACCCCAATGCATACACCTCTCACTAAAAATGCAACCTGCAAATGAGTTCTCTACTGTCCATCACCAGAGCAAACAGGAAGGGGCTCAGAGCCGATCCCTGATGTACCCCCACCTGGACTCTTCCTGCACATCTCAACCTGGTCTGTTGTTTGTTCCTCCCAAAAATAATATAAAGAACTAAAATGTGAAAACTGATTTCTGAGTGGAGACAAATGTTTAAATAAAAAGTTTATTTCAGGTTCATGGCACACAGCAGAACAGGACACGTTTTATTACAAAGCAGAAAATAAACTGAAGCTTTGCGTCAACATACTGTAGGCCCAAACAGGTCCGGTTCCCTCATGGGCCATGAACCATGCACACCTGCTCAGGTGTATTGAGAAGAATTCAGAACACGGTTCTGGTCCAAACCTAGAGCGGACCACAGCACAAGTACCAAATGTATTCTCCTTTTACTCTCCTGATGTCAGGAGCAGATGTGAAGTCCTGTAATCTGGTTCTCATCAAACAGCTGATCCAGACAAGAACCTGCTCTCTGTTCCCATCACGAGAACAAGTGAGAGGTTCTGCAGGGTGTGAAATCAACTCGGACGTGCCGAGCTGCTCATTTATAAACCCTCCAAGGTTTGAGCTGCTCGGGTCTGACAGAACTCCAGAGGTTCTTTAAGAATGACCAGTCAGAAGAGATATTGCTCAACAGACTGACAAAAAACAAACCTTCAGTATTCACCACCATTTTACAGATTATTTTAAACATCTCGAGGTTTTCTTATGGAGACTGGAACGAACACTACATATTGTGATGATGTCAGGAGTCATTTCAGCACAGACAGAGACCACATGATACACTTGTTGTTCAGGAGTTTAAAGCTGCAGGTTTGTTCAGAGCGGGGGTCACGACTCACGACGTCTGACTGTTTGATGCTCGTTTCTCTTCCTGCCTGAAACAATCCAGTGAAAACGGTTTAAAGTGGAAATGTTTGTTAAGAACACAGTACAATAACGAGACGCCTCAGAGAGCAGACATGTTGAAATGTTTGAAATCAAATCTAAATGTGTGCAATAATCACAGCTGAGCTTCCTCCACTCAATCACACACACTGGAGCGGAGCTCAGAGGACTTGAACAGGACTGAGTCTGTGGTCCACAAGGTTCTCATTCTCTTCAGCCGGATCGGATCCAGCAGGACTCAGCTCACACAGATAGAACAGGGTCTCCTCGCTGGCTTCAGCTTCGGTCAGAGGCTCCAGGCGAATCAGGGAGCTGCGAAGTGGCTGCTTTGACTCCAGGCTGCTGTCCAACAGTTCTGAGGGCGGCACAGGGTCCACAGAAACACCGGAGTGGGAGAAGAGCTGAGGATGGGACAAGTCTGTGCTCTCTGTGCCGGTAGCACCCAGATCCAGCTCTGAAGGGAGAGCATGGCCATCCAAAAAGGCAAGCAATGGGCAGGAGGTGTACTGGATCAACTGTTTATCTGAACAGAAGACAGAAGAAGTCGTCAGCAAAACTCAGCATCTCAAACATTTCTGCTTCCAAACAACCACTCAGTCAAGACGAGCTCTCTAGAGAGCAGCAGACACTGGACCTTGTTTTAACTCGTGATGTGACTGTTAGTAATCTTGAAACTGGTGATAATGTGTTTTCAGACCACATGCCAGTTCAGTTTGAGTTCACCTCCCCCGTCCAACTCCTAAGTCATGCGATCTTGCATGTCGCAGCCGGGCCATTAACCACTTCACTGCCGCACGTTTCACTGATGTTTATAACTCTGAAATGATAATTCAGCCGCCGGTGTTTCTCACCACCACTGAGGAGCTGACATCCCAGTTCAACTCTGTCTGCTCAAAGGCTCTGGATCATGTTGCTCCTGTTAAAACTAGAAAATCGAAACTCAGAGCTGAACCTTGGTTGAATGATGTCACCAAGGCCGTTAGACAGCAGTGCAGGAGGGCGGAGCACAAATGGAAGAAAGACAGGCTGCAGGTCTCTTTTCAAATGCTTAAAGAGAGTTGGCGTTGTTATCAGAAAGCAGTAAAAGCTGCTAAATCTAAATACTTTTCTGATATCATTGCCTCAAACTTTCACAACCCACGTGTCCTCTTCTCTACCCTAAACTGTTCTCCACCTCACTGAACCTTCACCTCTGGAAGCCCACCTCTCCACTGGCATGGTGCCAAAAACCTTTAAACTTGCTGCTGTTCAACCTCTCCTGAAAAAAAACGAACCTTGACCCCTCAGTCGTATCCAACTTCCCACCTGTCTCCAGAATCCCATTTGTTTCTAAACTACTGGAGAAAATAGTTGAGTCCCAGTTGAAGTGCTTCCTGGAGGACCATGCCATCCTAGAGTTATTCCAATCTGGCTTTAAACCTTTCCACAGCACTGAAACTGCCCTACTGAAGGTTTTTAATGACATTTTCTTATCCAAAGATACTGGTGATTCTGTGCTGCTTGTCTTACTGGACCTGACATCTGCTTTTGACACCATCGACCATGAGATCCTCATTGCTAGGTTGGAGCAGTGGGTGGGCAATACAAGGTCAGCCTTCAATTGGTTCAGATCCTACCTCGCTGACAGATCCTTTTGTGTTTTCATCAAAGATTTTAGTTCTCCAGCGGCAGAGCTTAAATGGGGGGTTCCGCAGGAGTCCATCCTGGGTCCCCTCCTATTCTCTTTATACCTGCTGCCACTTGGTGCTATTTTCCGGAAACACAACGTACCCTTTCACCTCTATGCCAATGACTGTCAAATTTACTTCCCCCAAGACACAATGGTACATGCTCTATTCAACCTCTGCTCAACTGCCTGGCTGACATCAGGGACTGGATGGCTTTAAATTTCTTAAGTTTCAATGAAAAGAAGTCCGAAGTCATGTTGTTCCCTCCCAATGACACGATCACGAACCACTACATCGACCTTTCCGCTCTAACCCTGTCAGAAAAACAAGGAGTCCCAAATTTGGGAGTGAAAATGGACCCTTCCCTGAAACTTAACAGTCATGTAAACATGATTGTTAAATCCTGTTATTTCCAACTGAGGCGACTGTCTAAGCTGAAGCCCATATTGTTCAAAAATAACCTGGAGACAGTAATACACGCATTCATTACATCTAGGTTTGATTACTGCAATTCACTCCTGTTTGGTATCAGTCAGAACTCCATTGCACGACTACAACTAGTCCAGAATGCAGCAGCCCAATTTTTAACCAGTACAGGCAAAAGAGAGCATATTACACCAGTTTGGCCTCCTTGCACTGGCTACCGGTTTACCTTCGAATCCAGTTCAAAATACTTCTGTATGTCTACAAGTCGCTGAACTGCCCCCCCAAATTTCTCTGATTTGCTACAGTCATATGTCCCACAACATTCTCTGAGGTCAGCGGACCAGTTACTCAGTTACTTCTCACAGTTCCAGGAACTCATCTTAAGCGCAGAGGTGACAGGGCCTTCTCTGTAGCAGGCCCAAGACTTTGGAACGAGTTACCTCTGCTTGTCAGACAGGCCCCCTCCCTCTCAGTTTTCAAATCCCACTTAAAAACTTACTACTGTCCAGTAGCTTTCAACACCAGATGATCTGCATTTTGAACCTGTATGCTTAATACAGGTTAGTCGTCGTATTTATTATTATATATAATAGCTTTTTAGCTAGCTAGTATTGCACGCAGCTAATTAGCGTTTGCCAGTACCGACAGGCGGGAGAGGGGTGCACAGTTCCGTTCGGTAGTTCGGCGCACTCAGTTCTGTTGACGGGACAGGGCGCCCCACTTGTATAAGAGGAAATACTAACGTATTTACGTCATGAAATTAGCATATCATGATATAGTTCATTTTCCGGGGTAAGCTTTTTTTAACCGGTATTATTGTGAATGAGATGATATAGCCCAGCCTTAATGGGCCTTTTTTCCAAACAACACTGATGTTGGGTTTGAAGACCCATTTACTGTCGGTCACTTCGAACAGTGTTTATACTGCCCCACTCCATCATCAGCCTGATGGCTTATAAGAGGTAAAAAGCTTCCTGCTAAATTCACCGCATCATTCTGCAGGTTTTATATTTCACACCGAGGTTTACACATACTGGTTAGACTGACTGGTAACTCTGACTGGTCCCTAGGTGGGTGGGTGGGTGGGTGGTTGAGTGAGTGAGTGAGTGAGTGAGTGAGTGAGTGAGTGAGTGAGTGA